GTCATTCCTTTCTCCACACCTACTTTCTCCCACTTTCGTTTAATTAAACTCTAGTCTTTCCTCTTAACCTTTGACTGTTTTTGATACCTTTCATTCGACACCTGCTTCATAATGCATTTGCTTTATTTCCTGCTTAACCATAACCCAACCATAAAATCCATCTAACTGATTTCTGTGGCTTGTTTTGCTTTCACTGCATACACACTGCATGTTCATGTGAAGCTTGTTTTCAGGGTGAGATGCAATTTCACAACTATCAGGAAGATGCACTCAACGTACATTATGAGGGGCGTTGTGTCATGGGAATATTAAAATGATACAACATCTGTGGGTGTTGGCATGGTCTACACCCCAAAAGTATTAAATGAGTACATGAATATTAGATGTGAGAGAAAGACATTGTGGTGTTTTCAGTGTGCGTTTTGTTGGCATAAAGATTGAGAGATAAATATAAATGCTTATAGGGATGGGATGTAAATGTATAATGAAGGCATGGAGAGTTTTTATTTGCAAGGCAAGAGGATCGATGTAAGTCTGGCTCCTTGCCATCTATAACATCTCTAAGTGGAAAAGTGCAAGGGTTTGAAGACAGCTGTCCTGAACATTTAAAAGGTAAGCCTGCTATGAATAGAATGATATAGTTTTGTTTTTGTTTTTCATTCTTACAATTCACAACAGAAATGCTAATATGTACTCAAGAGCAATATTTCTTTTTCATGATTTTAGGGGTTACTTTGCAATGTTCAACTCCAGCAAAAATGTTTTAAAAACAATTTTTTTCTATATATTTGTTTTAAACACACAGGGAAAATAGATCATTATCTGGCACGATAACCTTTAAAATCAAGTCTACTACATATTGTGAATGAAAACTATCCACTAATATTTAAGTCAGTCATTCATTTTACACCATACAGAAAGGACCCAAAGTAGAGCTCAAAGTAGTTTGGAAAAGTGGTCTAAACCCATAATGCAACTGAGAAAATGAGCCAAAATGTTTTTCTAGTAATAAATGAAATCAAAATTTTCCTTTCAACAACCAAATATACTTCTTCACACATTCATCCACATACAGGTAAATTTTAAAGATTATTTCACCCCCTTACTCCTTATATATTGTCATTATATAAAAATAAATGAATATAAAACTTAAGGCACAGTGTAATAACAAAAAAGACAAAAGGAAATAACCAAACAAGACAAATCAAACAAACAAAAAAACATGTTTTGTTGCCAGAGTGTGACGCTGTCATAGGGGTTAAATATCCCAAATGTGTTACGAAACATTTAATGTGTCTAATGAAATTTGGTTATAAGTAACATAAATGTAACCACCATGCTATACCGATAGGGCTTAAGCAGCATTTCTACTCCATTCAAACTGCCTTCACTTTCATTTTAACCGGCGGCCACGTTGGAGCCCTGGATTCAGGTAATAAAAGGGAAGCTACGCTTTGCTCACACTTACGTGGTTGTGGCCCACGTGATGTTACAATGGCTCCTCCTTTTATGTTTTTCCACCAGTGAGAGCAAGCAAAGGCGGGCTTTTACGGATGACGGCCAATGAGATGTGTCGTTAGTAATACGCGTCTTAGCATTAGTTGCATCCGGGTGAGGACTGGGGTGAGTAGGTAATTCTAAGTAAAATATAATCTAAAATCGTAAATATTTGGATTTATTTTAACTCCTGTTACTACTTATATCCTAATAAAACAACAACACAGCAACCATTGAAACATATTACAAATCCCGAGCTTCTTTCTTTCTTTCTCTAAAATATAAAGACCAGCTAGCTCGCTAGTTAGCTTTAAGCTAGCAGCTAGCCGCTTATAGCAGTGTCCGGGTTTTCCTTGTCGGTATTTTCGCCACCTTCGGTGACGGTTTTAGTTTTAAATCTGTTGTTTTTACAGTTTTTTTCTTAGAAGCTGTCGGCTCTCAGTCTTCAGGATGCACGGATCGCTTCGGGTGTTGCTTCAGGTGCTCTGGGCCCAGCTGCTTTGTGGGTGGGTGCTCGGCTCCGAGCTAACTTTTGAGCTGCCAGACAACGCTAAACAGTGTTTCTACGAAGACATCATCATGGGCACCAAATGCACCCTGGAGTTCCAGGTGCGTGTCTGTTCTTTCGATCCCTCCCATCCATGCGAATCATCCTTGTCGTTTTTCCCCCCAAATTAAATCGAGTATAGATTGTCCCCTTGAAATCTGGATCAGGCGTCAAAGATGAAAACCCAGGGACATGAACAGCTTCATGTGCATGTCTGATAAACACTAGAAATGTAAACCAACTCAGTTACTGTACTTCTACCTGAAAGATCTTCAGGTAAATATTTAAATTTAATAAGAGGTGTCCAGGTAGCAGCAGGCCGAGTTATAAGTAATAAATACTATTAAATGATCTTATTCATTATCTGTGACGTGTGCCTTAAACATTTCACTAGAACTACACACTCACTCACTCACACACACACACACACACACACACACACACACACAGGGTGTATAACAAACACAAGAAGTGGCTGATATTGAAAGATTCTACCAATGGCTGGTTAAAGCTTGACAGGGTAGACAGCACAGAAACACTACTCATGGTAGCAAAAGATCCTTAGAGATCGAGGTCTATCATACAGGCTGTGCAAAGATACCCCAGAGATAATCCAGCACATAACAGCAGAGTGCAAGATGCTAGCAGGCAGGGCATACATTGAACACCATAACCAAGTGTGTGGCATCGTATACAGGAACATCTGTGACAAGTATGGTCTGGAAATCCGGAGGTCAAAATGGGATACACCCCAAAGGTGATTGAGAGTAACCCAAGCTAACATCCATTTAGACCTCCAGATGCAGACAAACAAACTGGTGATGGTTAACCAATCAAATATAATGTCCACATGGTGGACCATCAGAGGAAGAAGGCCACGGTGATGGATGTAGCTATACCAAGTGAATCAAGAAGAAGGAATACAAGAAGCTTGAGAAATACCAAGGGCTGACGAGCCCACAGGTCGAGTGGGGAATTATTGTACAAGTATGCATTAGGAGCATAGTGTTGTGTAATTTTTAAAGTGCAATAATCACATACTGGTGCCTCAAGTGTATTTGCCAAAAAAGAGAAAAAGTGCAATAAATGAAGATTAATCTGGGTGATTGTTTTTATTTTTAATTGTGTGCATAATTAGCCTGTAATAACAATCTGATGATATATAACTTTTCACTGTCCACTTTCTGCTGTAACAAAACAAATTTCCCACGTGTGGGACTAATAAAGGTTGTCTTATCTTATGTTGGGGCAGTTGTTTTAAATGCTGTTTCTACACTGTGTTCAGATTAATTTGCACTGACACTGAAAACATGTAGGACTCAGACATGAAATTGATAAAGAATCTGATCTGTAAGCAAAAACGCTATCCATATATATTTTTAAAAACACTTTGTCAGTATCCATCCTACCCCTCCTTGGCTTTGTTACTCATTCCTTCTGTGCTTTCGATTCCCAGGTGGTGACCGGTGGTCATTACGATGTGGACTGCCGTTTGGAGGACCCAGATGGCACAACACTCTATAAGGAGATGAAGAAGCAATATGACAGCTTTACCTTCACAGCAGCCAAGAACGGCACCTACAAATTCTGCTTCAGCAATGAGTTCTCCACCTTCACCCATAAGACAGTTTACTTTGACTTCCAGGTTGGCGATGACCCTCCACTTTTCCCCAACGAGAACAGAGTCACTGCTCTTACTCAGGTAAACTGTGAGGATGCGCACATAAACCTGTTAACTGCCTGTTTCTCTCACTGATGTTTCCTTCATTGTATTTGTTAGGGCGAAATAACCTAAACGGTTACCCTGTCTTCATCCTGGTTGCACAAATGAACCAACACAGTTTCTTTAAATTAAAAGCAAATAAATCCTGGTGATAAATAACCCCCAAAAAGCAGAGCAGCCACCTTGCAGAGTTTGTTTATTTTATTCAGATAGAAAGGGTCACCAGACAAGCTTTGTCTGTAAATGAAATCTCAGTACTGTGGCTACTCTCACAAGATAATATCAACTAAAAGAAGGCTGAAATTTGGTGATGTAGCAAGACGGTGATCCTAACCAGTGATCTACCAAAGAACGATTTTAAACAAACAAACAAAAAGACGTTTGGAGAGACCCAGACAAACCCAGAAAATGACCGTTTGAACTTTGTGCAATTACTTCAGGGAAGCTGATTACATCCTAAAAATATGGCTGAGCTGGAGTCATTCTTTTTAGAATAATGGGGGGAAAATTCCTGCTAAATGTTGCAGATGTTAGTCCCCTCCTTCTGGAAATGTCTGACCTTATCACCTTTTTGTGTTACATTAGATTAAGTAAATGATGGTTGTCATTTATCAGGCACAAAACTAAAGGCAGAAAAAGACAGCAAGATGTGGGATGTTCAAATACTGAAATATATGTCTGTTCAGACAGACTAGAAAAAGCACAAAATATCATCTGCCTACTGTAATATTAGCTAAGGAAATATAATTAAAAAGCACTGCCAAAACCACTGTTGCCAAAAGAATACCAATGATATAAATACAAGAACCACCCCTCCCTTAAGTGACAGACTCATATTTGTCAGCCGTGCAGATTTAATGTTCCTGGTGGATGAATTTAGTAAATATTTTCAGCCATCTTCCAAAAATCTAAAATCAGTTTTGTTTTCCAATCTTCACCATTTACAGATGGAGTCAGCCTGCGTGTCCATCCATGAGGCTCTGAAGTCGGTGATCGACTATCAGACACACTTTCGCCTCCGTGAGGCCCAGGGACGCAGTCGCGCCGAGGACCTCAATACCCGCGTCGCTTTCTGGTCCATCGGAGAAGCCATTATCCTTCTGGTGGTCAGCATCAGCCAGGTGGTCTTGCTGCGAAGCTTCTTCTCTGACAAGAAGACCACGACAACGCGTGTGGGCTCATAACAGCCTCTGAGATCTGACTCATCACTTCCTTTGTCTGTTCTTGAGCTTGTGTGCATGGAGTGCATAGGAACAGCCGCGCTGATCTGTAATTGAATCATATCAAGCGGCCAGGTCCTACAATCTGATGCGGCCTCTTAAATCAGTACAGCTGTTCTTACAACTTTATGCAAATTAGTCTTGAGGAGAAAAAATAGTTGTGGGTTAAAAGTGTTTTTGAGGATTAAAAAAAAAACAGGAGGAAGACTTGATTGTGTTGCTTGTAACTATCTGTATTTGAAGCAGTTCAAGCACTGGCCATATAGCTAAAGAAAAACTTTAAGTCATTTGAATATTTGAAATGATTTCTAAATGTGTTCTTATTTTAAATGTGTCCTTTTCTAACCCCTGTCTTCATGATTTGTTCTAATTTTCATCCCAAACTGCTCTGAAATAAGCACCCAAGTGGATACTGGGACTAAATGTAGTGATATTATAAGGATACTGCAGATATTTGTCTTTATCTGCACTAGCTCTCAAAAGCCACACTCTCAGTGCGAAGGTTGGATTTGTTTATGAAAAATCTGTTGCATTTTTTTCCTGTGTTACTAAAACTCACTTTATTAAGTGAGAAATGGTAGATGTTGTGTTTTTTGTTTTGATCGGCTTTGCCATTTTAGTAGTTAGAAAGGAGTTTGCTGTGCTCTGCAGAGAGTAAGCAGTCCTTTAATCCAATATTAGTTTGACACCCTTTGTTCATAAGGTGGTTGTTGGGTTGAAGGATTGAATTAAAGTGCAGAAGGTATACCACGAGTGACTGCAAACCTAATTCCATAAAGAAAATCTCTATAAATTAAAAGTAAGTTTTTGCTTTGTTTCCATTTGCTCTCTTTTACATTGGGGGAAATATTGATCGGTTTAAGTGTGCAACATAAATTCTAACATATGGGATGTAGGGTTTTTTTGTTGTTGTTGTTTTTTATTATTACATCTGTGTGACTCTGTGGCAGACAAAAAAGAAATGACTCATTCTTGTATTTAAAACCGCATCGTTTTGTCTGTTAAGTGGCAATCCCAGCTGTTAGAGGTGCACCAGTTCCTTAAGTCACTGTCTTTCTTTGAGCCGACGCTGTCCATTTGGTTTTGTACAACAATATTGTAACATTTGTGTGGTTGGAAGAATTGTTGCTTGAATAGAAGATAATTCAAGTGAATACGAGTTGTAATTTGATGTTTCAAAACTCTCATCTCACCCTTTTTTGACATTTATTTAGCAGTGCAGAAAGAAATCTTAAACATGCATGTTTATTTTTAGGGGTTTCACTACAAATTTCGGTGAGCAGTTTTTTTTGTACTAGTGTAGGTCACATGCAATGGTTTATGGGCTTAGTTCACCTGGGTGGTTTGACTTTCAGGCAGGAATCACGTGGATCTTTATTTGTGGTTTACAAACATCTTACTGTAAATGTATCTCTTTCACATAGACATTGGCTAAAGCACAAGTATAAAGAAGCTGTTTTAACCTACATAATTTTACTATACACAGCTATATGAAAAGAGATGAGAACAGATCGAAAGCTAAAAGATTGTGGTTATATGTTAAACCTTTTCAGTCAGGGATGGGAAAAGAAAAAGAAATTCGGTGTACAAATATTATTATCCCGCTGAAAGAAGCCAAAAAAGCTTGTTTCATTTTATTGTCCAGGTTTATAGAAGTGTCCTACTTGGGATAGAAGTGATTAAAAACAACAAAAACTTCAAGAACAATCAATTTGATCTGTTATTCTCTCTCCAGAGGTCGCCATGTTTTATGTGGTGCAATTTTGGCATTTCCATTTGCACAGGTTTAGCTCCGAGGCATTGTGGGAAGTTGTTAAGTTATTGTGGGATGGATGAATAAACTTTTTGTTTAAATGTTAAATTCTGCACTTATTTAGTCACCATTAATTAATAAACTGTACATTGAGGTGTTGGGTTTCTAGATAACACAATCTGCTCATGCTTCTTTTATCCTGAGGGGGGTGATATTGTCAAGGCCATCACAATTTTCTAAAGCATGTTCATGGTTTCCTTTAGGTCAGGGGTGTCAAGACTCCGTTTATTTCCTTTGTCACATGCAGTCTTATTCTTTATTTAATTATTTTTCTCATTTTAAAAAACAAATTTACACACAGCTCGATCTTTAGGAAGTGTGTAGAATGTTGTGTAGAAAAACTCATAAACCTGCATTTTATTCACAGTAGAATGTGGAAAAGCTCTAGATGAGGCCCCGTGGTAGACTCAGGACACGCTGGAGAGATGATGTCTCTTGGCTGGTCTGAGAGCGCCCCGGTGTTCACTCGGATGAGCTGGAGTAAGTGGCTGGGGAGGGGAGGTCTTGGCATCTCTGCCGAAACTGCTGTCCGCATGGCCCAGACCTGGCTAAGCAATAGAAGATGGATGGATGGATGGATCCTGCACATCACTTTCAGGGAAGGTCTAGCATATTTCAGTAAGACGAGACTAAATCATATAATTCCACTATTACAACAGCGTGGCATCATAGAAAAGTCCAGGTGCTGAACTGCCAAGCATGCAATCCAGACCTTTTTCCAACTGAAAACATTTTGCAGCTAAATGAATAAATATGAAAAAGCAGACCCACCCAGAACTGTTGAGCATCTAGAATCAGACATGAATGGGACTTTTACAGATGTCATCTCCCAGAAGTCCAACACCTGGTCTCATAAGTTCACAGATATTTACAGATTGTCAAAGAAGAGTGGATGCTGTGCAGGGGTAAACACAGCTTGAACACTTGACATGTTTTCTGGGTTCTGTTATTGTAAACTATAACTATATCCCAAGTTATAGTATTATTTGGTGCATTTGTACTGTTGGCAAACTGATGTACATAATCAAAGTGAGAAAAGTTGAAATAAAAAGGTGGTAGATGTTATTTATATAACTAGAAGATCAATAGGGACTCGTTCTCTGTTTATATACAGTAAAATGTATGCATACATCTACATATGATTACAAGACCTTGGTATGTGTACAAAAATAACTATATGCTACTACACTCATCAGACACCTATCCCCATTAAGTTTATGGTGAAAAATTGTTATACAAGATTTTATTCTATTAAATATATATCCATATAGGAAAACGTGACTTAACTTTACTTTCAGTATGATTGTATATTTATATGCCTTGTGGTTTATCTATACATGTCAGTTACATTCACCTAAGACAAATGCTTGAAAAAAGGTGATAACTCCCCCCTCTCCAACCTCTCTTTCACCTGTTTTCTACTGTCTACTGTTTTCTACAGATCACAATGTCATCTGCAAACATCAGTGTCAACAAAGAATCCTGTCTGGCCTCATCAACCTGTCTCACTGTCCTGACCAAGCATATTACAGTTATTAACAAAAAACAATAATTTGCAAACTAAATAAATAAAGCATACAATATATGATTAATGTATTACAGGGTATTGATGCAGATGTTAGTGGGACTGGAATCTCCAAATGACTGTGAGTCCCGCGTTTTTATTGCAATAGTTGATCTAACCCTAACAAATAAGTTAAAGGAAAAATAAAAGATCAGACTGAATGAATAACTTCATACATAAATAAATAAGTATAGTCATTAATATAATTTTTTTAATCATTTTTCATGCTGTCTCTTTAATTTCAAACTGCCTCTGGAAGCTGCTGAGGATGTGCATTACCGTGTGTCTCCCTCAGCTATCAGTGCAGTATTTGAGTCTTTCCTGTGCCTCTGTTTCTCTTTCTATGGTAGTAAGAAAATTCATTGGTGCTTGAAAAACACTCTCTTTTAACTCTTTGTTGTTGTCTGCGTAACAGGGCTTCCAGCTCTCTGATTGGCTGTCCACCTGTCAATCATGTGCTCCACTGGAGAAAAAAAAAAAAAAGACTGCGTCGGGTTTGTGATTTGACACAAACCGAGTCGTGATCATCCGGTTGAGCCGTGGGTGGTTAGTTAGCCTCCCCTGTTTACCTTCTTTTTCTTTGGCGGACCTGCCAGCTTGTTGAGCGGCTGTGTGGACGACTGGTAACCTGCCGTTTTTGTGGTAACGCCTGTTGGTTTTTGGAAGGGGACGAGCTGTGTCTGTGAGAGAGAAACGCGGCACGGTTAGTGGGGGATATCCCCTCGCCTGTTTGGCTGAACGTCGTTTTTCCTGGCTAAGCTAGCATAAGCAGCAGCAGCGTAAACGGGTGGGGGTGGATTTCTACACTTCGGCCCTTGGAAAGCAAATATAAATAACCCACTGAGGAGTAACGTTATGCTGGGGAACAATGACCAGCGAAGGGGACAGATCTAAGGAAGAAGGGCTTCTCGAGTGGAGCGGACATGTCAGTGGATGAGCAGCGGTGAAGAGTGGTTCGGCTAAGCGGAGCTAGTCGGTTAGCTAAACGGATCGAGGAAGTTGACTAGCCACTTTTGCTAACTGGGCTAAAAACGTCTGAGTTAGTAATATAGATTAAGATTTAAGTGGTGTCAACTTTTTTAAAGCTGGAGATTTAGAAAGTCACGAACTATTTGCGGATTTTAATCCCCAACAACAAGAAAAGGTAGCGCATTGGTTTAACAGTTAGCTAGAAAGTCGAAGCTTGTTATAAACAAAGGCTGCCAAGCTTCACCTGTCCACAGCGACCTTACACATCCACGGGTCGTCGACCCCATTGTTTGACAGACAGCGCTGCCATTTTTTAAACTACTATTAAACCGTGAATTTAAGTCTCGGGGATGGATTTAAAGACCGCGGTGTTTAACGCAGCCAGAGATGGTAAGCTCCGGCTGCTTCAGAAGCTGCTGGAGAACAAAGATGGGCACGAGGTGACCAAGTTAATGGGCGAGAAGACAAACGGGGCCACCCCGCTCCTGATGGCTGCCCGGTACGGCCACTTGGACCTGGTGGAGTATCTGCTGGAGTGCTGCAGTGCTCCTGTCGAGGTCGGTGGATCGGTGAACTTTGACGGGGAGACTATCGAGGGGGCGCCCCCTCTCTGGGCTGCCTCGGCAGCGGGACATCTGAAGGTAGTCCAGTCCCTGCTGGGTCACGGAGCTTCTGTCAACAGCACAACGCTGACCAACTCAACGCCCCTGAGGGCGGCCTGCTTTGACGGCCACCTGGATATTGTGAAATACCTGGTGGAGCACAATGCTGACCTGGAAGTAGCCAACAGACACGGCCATACTTGTCTCATGATTTCATGCTACAAGGGGCACAAGGAGATAGCGCAGTACCTGCTGGAGAAAGGGGCAGATGTCAACAGGAAAAGCATCAAAGGTGAGTCTGTAAAAAGCTTTCCACAGTAAAATGTTGACTACATGGATGATAAGCCCTATTTTCTTTTTCCTTTTTTTTTTTTTTGAGCCGATAGCAGATAGTTTGAGAAAATCGAGCAACAAATGGGCAAAATGCACGTGACACGCATGCATCCAAATATAGGGTTTGTTATCGGATGACAAAATTAACTAATTTGCAATTGCTTTTTTTCCTGTATGAAATGACTCAACAGCAAATCATGAACTTCTGGTTTCACAGTGGAAAGTTGCAAGCTAGCTACGTCAGCCTGGATGCGTGCGTGTGTGTCAGGGTGTGTCTGGAAGCTCATACTTTGGATGGTGTTTTCTAAATACAGGAACAATAAGAATTTGTCTTTAAGATCATTGTCTTTTATACGTGTGGTTAAAAATAAAAGCACTTAACTGCTCAGGATGTTCATTATTTTCTCTTTCTATGGAAACGGCTGCTTTGGTAGGCTTGAATTCACGGTTTTACAGTGAATTACAACCACAGACCTTTGGATACCTACCTAGATTGGCACATTAAAGTCCCTACTTTTAGCTCTTGTGTGATCAGAACTATATAGTTGAAGCTTATACTTAATTTCCTGTGACTAGCACTAAACTCAAGAGCAGGGCACAAACCGCCCTCTCTACACTGCTTTTCACAAAACAGCTGTATTGACATAAGAGGGTAAATCTCTATTATTAGATATGACTGGAAACTTTTCAAAAACAATAAAGCTTATGTTTAGGCAGGAAAGTGAGCAAGTTAGAGGAGAAAAACAGTCCTGACAAAATAATCACAGATGACTAGACTGCTTCAGAAGTTGTGCCCTGCTCACTTCCTTCTCAGAAAAGTCATCACTTTTCAGTTCATGAAAGACTTTCAGTAAATAACCTGTTTGGTGAGGTGTCATCTTGAATCGATTAATGCAGACAAACAAATCTTAAATCATTTCTTGAAGTTTTTCCCCAGTTTTTCCAATCAGTGTTATTTATCCAAACCACATTAAAACACTGATTATATAATCAAAAGTCAGTTTAAACCATTTTTTAGTATAAACATGGCTTTCTTGTTGTTTACCCAGTTTTGCTTGTACATATTTAACTGAGGGGGGGAAACTGTAGCGCTGCTGCTGCTGCTGCAGTTTTCTGTCCAGAATTGTTATGTTTGCAGAAACCAAAGAATATAACTGCTGGTTGATCCCAAACTAACCCTGTTTGGTCTCATCTGACTGAGTGTGGAGTAGCCTCAGAGAGCAGAAAGAAAAACAAACGCACTGTTAACCAGAAGAAAAAAAAGGGGGGTGAGCTTGAAGTGTTTATAATTCCCAGTCATGGCATGTGTTGAATTTCCTCAAAGGGATTTACTTATCTTTATGGGACTCAAAGTTCAGTAAGCACGTGTGTGTGTCTGTAGATCCCTTCCTCTTTGGGGAAAACTGAACCTGATTTTTCAGGACTGAGTGACCTACTTTTAACATGCCAGACTTGAGTAAATGTAGCAGTGGTGGAAATGGTCCTGCTTCTGCTCCATGAGTGATCTTGAATGTTATTTTTTTGTACTTTCAAATTGTGGGTTTGTTTTATTTATTTTTTTCCTTGGCTACAATACCACTGTGTGACTCTTGCACGGTTTCACTGACAATGTGACATACCTTCCAACGAAGGCAAACAAGTCAAGACTGAAAACACTGCTGGTGGAACTTCATTTTTCACTGTAATTGTTTGTAATAGGTTCTCCCTTTTTTCTTTTTCTTTTTAACAATAGCTTAGCTCACCTGACAAAGTGCAATTTCTCCCTTTTTATCTGAGGAATGTGGCGTTGGAAGTTTGTGGTCATCCCTAAATATTCTTACAATTCATGATGGAAGTTATCTGCCCTTGACTCACCTTTACGTCCTGCAGTCCAAAGAACCAGTGGAGTTTCTCAGACTTTTCTGTTGTACAAATGTCTGGCCCTGTGTTTTCCTTAATGGTGAACCACATAGGTTAGCATATCAGACCACCGTGGTCTGATATGCTAATTTAAGCGCGCTTCAGACATTTTCACTCTAAGTTTGCAATCGTAAGAAACTGTTATCAAAACAGCTTCTCTGAAATTCAGCACCACAATAACACCAAGGTACTCGAAGCTTGGTGACTAATTGTCTTCTTCTTATTGACTCTTAATAGTTGTATTTAGTCTCAGTAGTGAATGGAGTTAAACAGAAGTGTGATTGGGAGTACTTCCTTGTTTTGAGTTTGGTAAATTCCTGGGAAACCCCCAAGGTGGAGAGATGTCTTATTTTTGTTGCTAAACTGGATTAAACTAGATCTCTGGTATCCCTGGAATGGAACATTATCAATTAAAAGGAAACTAAATTAAATGGATTAAACTTTTAAGGAATGCATTTTGTGCTCTTCCTAGTTAGACATTCATATTTGTCTTTGTCTTTTGAACTTCTTATTTGTTTTTTTGTTAGTTTCTTATTGTGTTGCATGGTTTTTTTTGGTTTGTTTGTTGTTGTTGTTTTTCTTTGTCCGTGTTGTGCTGAAAAATACTTCATGTGATGTGTGTCTGTTTGCTCAAATCCTTTGTAGAAGTTGATTCTCTTTTTCTGTTCTGAAACTGATGAAACCGCTAAAAAAAAGTGAATATGACTCATCTTATGGAATAAATAAATGTAAAGTGGTAGCATCCATAAGAACTTTAGCATCAGTCATTGAGCCTTTTAAATGTTTTTTGTTTTTTTTAATTACCAGCTTATGATAACATGGAGAGAGAAATTCCTTAAGTCTATATCAAGGTAATAGGATGGATGTAGTCATGGATTTGCAAACTGAATTCCTGCTAGTCTTCTGTGAGCTAATCTAGGTCTTATGTTTAACTCACTGCACAACATGCGTCTTCTTTGTTCACAGGCAACACGGCGCTTCACGACTGTGCGGAGTCAGGCAGCCTGGAGATCATGCGGATGTTACTGCAGTATGGCGCAACCATGGAGCAGGATGGCTACGGCATGACACCCTTACTTTCTGCCAGTGTTACAGGCCATACTAATATTGTAGACTACCTGACTACGCATCAGCAGGTCAGGCTTCCTGTCGCCTACAGTTAAAGTTTGTTTGTGTAGAGTTGTGTGAGGATCACATAAATCACATATTTTGTCTCTGCAGACGAGGCACACAGAGCGCATTGATGCCCTGGAGCTCTTGGGAGCTACGTTTGTAGACAAAAAAAGAGATCTGCTTGGAGCTTTAAAATACTGGAAAAGAGCCATGGATCTGAGGTACATGGACAGTAACAACATCATCCAGAAGCCGGAACCCAAGCAGCTGATCATGGCATACGATTATGCTAGAGAGGTGAGTGCATTTACCCAGCACCACCTTAAAGTGGGCTTGCAATGTGTTTAAAGCTCTTGAAATAGGTTTTCTTTTCACATGATGTCACATTTTGATATCAAGATGGAAAAAGTAAATGTTTTCATTTTTCTGGGGAAAACCTTTAATGTTACACTCTGGTCTTTAGTATTGGAGATGTAGCCTAAAACTTTGTTAATTAGCTATATAGATTAAATCCAAGACCCATATATCGATATGCGTCTTGGTGCTGAAGTCACAAGTCACTCTGCTACTTTTTAAATCTGCTTTCTAGGTAACAAACGCAGAAGAGCTGGATGGACTTATTTCTGACCCAGATGAGATGCGCATGCAGGCTCTGCTCATCCGAGAGCGAATCCTCGGTCCACAACACCCAGACACTTCCTACTACATCCGTTACCGTGGTGCCGTCTATGCTGACTCTGGAAACTTCGAACGCTGCATAAATCTGTGGAAGTACGCGCTGGACATGCAACAAAGCAACCTGGACCCCCTCAGTCCCATGACTTCCTCCAGCCTGCTGTCATTCGCTGAGCTCTTCTCCTTCATGCTGCAGGACAGGGCCAAGGGGCTCTTGGGGACATCGGTGTCGTTTGAGGACTTGATGGGGATACTGTCCAAGAGTGTGATGGAGATTGAACGAGCCATTAAACAAAGTGGACCAATGCCTCCTGACCCTGCTCAGCTCAGCAAGGCCCTCTCAATTATTCTCCACCTCATTTGTCTTTTAGAGAAGGTGCCATGTACTGCAGAGCAGGACCATTTCAAGAAGGAGACAATCTATAGGTGTGTTCCTATTGAAAATCTCCTCAGTGTTGTTTATAAAGGTCACACATGTCTCTGTGTACACAATATGGCAGTTGGAAGGGGTCTAAAAGTTTCCTGTGACAGTGATTTTTGTTAATGTTCCTTTCAGTCACATATACAACTTTTTTTTTCTTTTTTTTTTTAGCAAACAGGCAGGATGTTAATTGACCTTTGCCACAGGCTTTTTGCAATTCTGTCAGTAATGTTGATTTAAAAAAAAACATTAGTTTAATCAAACTTATTGTTCATATTCATAATTCTTTGCCTTTCATTCTGACACTGTTGCATCTCTAGATTCCTGAAGCTCCACCCATGTGGTAAGAATGGCTTCAGCCCGCTGCACTTGGCAGTCGACCGCAACACTACCTGCGTGGGCCGTTATCCCGTCTGCAAGTTCCCTTCCCTCACGGTTGCTTCAATCCTACTTGAGTGTGGGGCAGATGTCAACAGTCGAGATGACGATGACAACAGGTCTGTTTTTAAATATCGCGCTTCTGTTTCACCCACACTCTCCAGCTTTTAGTTTTCACCTAGATTTGTTCAGGGGGAAAATGGCAGAAAGTGGATAAGAAGACATGTGTGCTTGTATGTTGTACAGGATAATCCTCTTACAGATCTATTATCTTTGTATCCACCAGCCCCCTCCACATAGCGGCATCCAACGGTCACCCTGACATCATGAACCTGCTCATTTCCTGCGGGACTCACTTCGACAGCACCAACGCCTTCCAGCAAACGGCCTGCGACCTCCTGGATGAGAAGGAGCTGGCCAGGAATGTCATCCAGCCCATTAACCACACCACTCTGCAGTGCCTAGCCGCCAGGGCTATCATCAAGCACGGCCTCGACTACCGGGGAAACATCCCAGAGAAACTGGAGGCCTTCGTCTTGCTCCACAGATAATGATTGTGAAGGAGTGGAGAAGAATGGATGGGTGCACGGGGAAAAGTGTGAAAAGGAGCAACATAATCTCAACGCCTCACCCACAGGGTGCTTGAAAAACAGAGACAATTATGTGGGTTAGGTTTGCAAATTCAAACTACATGGAGAGTATGGACTTGTTGGAAGAATTAAGTGCACACAAAAAGTCCTCAACTAACCAGGATGGACTTAAAATGATTTGGATTAACTGGCCCAATTTTTTGGGGATGCATCAGGAGTGGATTGCAACATTGACACAAACAGCTGCATCTCTGGATGAACTGAGCAAAGGGGTTTATGTATTTTTGCTTGAGGTTTTTTTTTGTTTTGTTTTTTTTTTGCATATTCCTCGATTTCTATTTATTAAATGAAACTTGAGAGATTTTTCTCCATGCTGGCTGCAACCCAGTCTCAACATTGCCTGCTCACGTCTTCTCAGTCTCAAGGCATTTCTACATATACTGGGAGTTCAGGTTGTTATTATTATTTTTTTAAAATATTTTTGGTTTGCCAACAGTCATGGTCCCTTCCTCAGTCATTAGAATTTTTTTTTTTTTTTTTTTTTTTTTTTTTTTTCTTTTGTACTTTTACAAATACACCTAGTTTTTGGTCATGCAAATCTGGACATCTGCCAAGTGCTGTGGATTCGAGACTCATTTGTCGTTCCCACTTAAGTGTACAACAAAGCTTTACAAGAAGGGTTTAATGCGTGCAAACACCATAAGTGCTTTATTCTTTCTATGCACAGGCTAGGCTGTTGGAAAGAGAGACTGTTGTATTCTGTGCCGGCACTTGTCTGTGCAATATCTCTCATGAGTTTTTGTGTTTACCTCATTGCTGCCGTTTTCTTCAGTATCCACCTACTTCACTCAAAAAGGAGGGGGAGAGGGGTGCAAAAAAACATTGTACTGATTGTTGTAAGACGAGTGAATGAATTTGAGCAACTGTTTTGTTTGTTTTTTTTGCGTGAGTGCGTGTGTGAAAGAAATGCGAGTGCCCCCCCACGGTGCGTTCCTTGTAAGCAGAGTGGGTTTTTTGCTTTTGTTTTTTGTTTGACTTTACACAAATTGTTGACAACGGGAATTTTGGTGAAGTGGCGCTCATGGAGATTCCACAATGCACGTGACTGCCAGTAGAAACCACAGCGGCCAAACTAACAGTTCACAACCGCTGGCGAGTGCAGGCTCGTACACAGAAGTGACCTCTTTAACATTCATACATGGCCGACCTTTAAATACTGTCGTTCTTTAATAATTTTTATCCCGCCCAAAAAAACGTTTGGTAAACATTGTCCCACTGTTCACGTGCAGCAACATATCAACCAACCAATCACTGCAGAAGACCTTTCATGACAACACCTACACTCCAAACTAGAGCAGAGCAAGGGTAGATCTGTTTGTCTTATACAGCTGTCATCCAGCTGTGTGAGGAGTTGAAGACACGAGTGAGAGGATGCCTCTACATACAGAATAGGAAAGCTTTGTGAATTATCTCATTTGCACATTAGCTTTAGATGTGTGGGTTGGAAATTTTAAAAAAGGGCTTTTCATAATTCTTAGGATTTCATATTACAGTTTAAAAAGAAAAAAAGCAGACATAGCAAATGTATTGAGGACACCCAGGGCAACTTGATGTGAATCTGCACTTTACTACAGCGGAGTTTAAGATTTGATATGGCATTAATTGAGTTCATGTCTTAATAACCAGTTTGACAATAAACCCATGTTGCACTTGTCGTCTTGTCCAAATGTCTTTATTTCCTGGTTTTTCTCTCTTTGTTTTAATAGCTATACACCAGTCAGCCACAACATTAAAACCAGCTGCCTAACACAGTGTGAGACCCCTATTGTGACTTACTGGGTCAGGCACAAGGGACCTCTGGGGGTGTCATGTGGTTTCTGGATTAGGAAAGCTGGAGAAAATCCTTTCAGGATGAGACTTGTCTCCCATAAATGCCTGACTGGATTGGGAGTTGAGCAGTTTGGTGGCCGGATTGATGCACCTGGCTCTGTTTAGATTCTTTGCGCTGTGGCATTGACACATTGACAGCAGCCTCTCCCAGGAGGACAATGCGTGTTGTGCTTGACCTCCAACAATGTTTAGGTGGGTTTTATGTGTCTTAAGTGAACTCTGCATTCTAATAAGGCAATGTTACTTGACTTGTCTGTGGTTTTAATGTTGTGGCTAATGGTGGAAGGATGGAATGGAAAAAGGCAACAGCTGATTGAGTCAGTGTTCCCACTGCTTTTGCTCTATAGTCACTGAGCAGATCTTTGAGTTGGGTGAAGCAAAGAGGACCCCTGAGATGTGAAACTGCAGACGGGGGTTGCTCATGTTGTTCGTGAGTTGCTTCCAAGAAATGCCCCCAAGTAAAAACAAGTTAATTTATGACTTGCTTGTTCAATACTTTGTGCATGAAGCAATTAAAAACAGCAGCTGACTGGTGTGCAGAGAACCTTGGAGTTTTTATTCTTCTCTAGACTACAGTCATTAGGACCCAGTAACAAGTATTGTCTCTGTATCCAACACCTGATGTGCTGCCTTGTATATTAACTCTGTGAGGCTCAAAGCATCAAAAACACATCAGCGAGGCCCTTGATGCTCCACAAGAATCAACAAGAAAAATCTAATGAATTATTTAAAGACCCAAGATGATATGATTGGTGTTCAGCCATGCTGTGTTATGGCTCCACTGGTGGCAGTGTCATTTACTTTGCATATTACCCTCCAGGATTACATCAACATTTCACCAGGAGCCAGAGGTTTTCTTATTTTAGAAAAAAAAGGCTTCACACAAATGAACGGATTAACTTCAAGTGTGGTATGATAGCAGTCGACAACATCGAGTGGATGGATCTGGACTAGGGCTGTTCGATATAACGCTATATATCGGATAACATATAAAAACGTCTATCGTTTCCTTTTACGCTATTGTTTGTTTCGTGGTGTCGCAAAATAAACTGTTTACAGTAATATTGTTTCATCGTTTTGATGGTCACTGTAGTGGCTATATTAATTTCTTAAAGTTCTCTCTTTCTCTTATATTTAATATAACCACACTAAGGATGGACAAGCGTTGTGGTTAGCAACAATGACGGTAAAACCATCGGGTGTCTGCTTGTTTATGTTCCACATAAACCTTTCACAATAAAGCTCAAGATCCTGTTGAGACTTTTCAAAATAAACTGAATCACGTGAAAGATTATGCCGAGTATTTATGGATGAGAAGCAAAAAAGAGCCGTCAGATGCTAAAAAATAAACCTTAGATTCAAACGTTAGAACAGGCTTTTCCCCGCAGCACGCCGTGTAATAAATACTCACAAAGAAAACAACGGCCTTTACAACTTATGTCTAAAAATGTATCGTTTCATGCATCTGTTAAAACACTCGACTCCAGGTACACGAAGCCCAGCTGGAAACACTTCATGCGGGTCGAGCTGCCCGATATTCACAAAATTTACAGAAAATGTAAAAATTTTGTGATTTATATCGTTATGGGACGATAGATGTCTTATATCGGGATATGAGATTTTGGTCATATCGCACAGCCCTAATCTGGACCCAGGCTAAATGAACTTCGGTGGTTTTATTTAGAAAATCTGGTGCCTACACTGCAGTCCTGCCAGTTAATTACTGATGTTCTTATACTTTTGGTTTATGGGTGAATTTGGGAGAAACTCAAGGCCTCACTCAGCTAAAAGCATGACTTTAGATTTCTTAAGTGATACGAAATCCACATTCACCACATGCGCTGCCTTGGTTTAATCTCCCGAGTGATCATAGCTACTCCCGTTTCAGTTTAACAAAGTGAAATGGTGAAATGTAAAGAACTGTCATGTAACAGCCAGATGATGCAGCTTCCTCACACACAAACGGACAGATACCTTCACGAATACACATTTATTCCTTGCTTCCTCCGCATGTAGAGCCGGCAGCGTTCATCCCCAAAATGTGAAACCCGTCCTGAATGTTCTGTGATGAGTCACTGCCAGGATCTCCTGTAAAGCAGAGAGTGGGACTTTCTTAATGAGTCACGATCACTGTAGGTGTGTGTGTGCGCCAGGCCGCCGAGGCTGGACTGAGTGCGTCTGGTTAGATATGTATGAATCTCTTTTACGACCTGCAACCATTTTGTGGTCTATAAAAATGGATTTCGCAACCTTCAGGGACTTTTTCAACCAGCCTTCCTTAATAAGTGGTTATAGCATGTAGCCATCTGAAATCATGTCACTCTTGCGTAACAGACCTAGCCACACACAAAAAAAACCTCTTGAAAAGAGAAATGGAGACAAATAAACAGGTAAATCAATTTTCTGAGGAAGTATTTACCGCCATTCTTTCTGAGAAGTGCAATTGAACTTTGCTGTTTTGCATTTTCACAACCACGCCCAGAATTACCTTTCTAAAATTAGCTAAGGTATCATGAGGTGAAAGTGGACACATGTTTTTATTTAGTGTGAGGTGTAACTGTAGCTGGAAAATCTATTTGGTTTTACGCACATCTTCCATTCCAGCCTCAGTTATGCAAAGCTCAGGTAACCTTCTTTTCCTTCTGCAGGAACGCTAACATACCTCATTGATGGTAATTGTGAAATATACGGTTTAGATGTTTCTGGGTCGAAGTGCACGGAACAAGTCGAGGCTTATCACTGTACTGGTGTTTACGTCGCTCAGCCCCACTAGAAGTGGCTCTGTGTCCAACAAGGAAGAGTTTGAAAAGGGTGCAGGGTAAAAAAAGGTGAAAGGCTGATATGAGGATGTTAAGTTTGTACTAAGGCTGTGTGGATAAAAGCCAGAGTTTCTAGAAAAGGAATTGTCAGCTCAGCAGGGAGGGGGTGTACTGAGTCAGAGGAATGCCCATGAAGTCTCACGAATGAAGATGATGAGAATCTACCATGCTGAACTGTCTTTTACTAAAATTCAGGCTCCCTACCAGCTTTCAAAATTGTGTCATTCTTTCTCACTAAACTATAATAAAACGCCTATTCAAAGGATGAAACTGTTCATATCTCTGTTAAAATAGTGACATGCCCTTATTTCCACCAACACCTTCTTATTAACTGCTTAACTTTGAAGTGTTTGCAAATGTATTTTTCTCCATCTCTTGCTTTATGGTGCAGAGTTACACATAGGTACAAAGGAAGGAGGTAAAGAGGAAGACCACAGAGGAGGTTTGTGGATGTATTGAAGGAGTAGATGGAGAGGGTTGGTGTGAGGAGGGTGCTAGGGATAGGGTGAGATGGACGATTTGCTGTGGTGACCCCTTAAGGATCAGCCAAAAAAAAAGGGAAAAGATTTCCTCATTTAATTAAATTCATTGTATTTATATATCCCCAACTCACAACTATTGCCTCAGTGTGCTTTATATCGCAGAACCTACAATATCAAACAAACTAAATAACAAGACAAAAACAGAGAAATCAGATAACCTCCAATTAAAAAGCACGTGGAGATGGTGAGAAGGAAAATCTCCCTTACCCCCCTGTCACAACCATTTGGGGTGAAGGAAAGAAAAGAGAGGAAAAGAATCTCTGTGGGAGAGAATGAAATGAAATGAATGAATATTTTATAATA